CTTACCGAGGGAAAATGCTGGAAGTTTTGAAAACAAACAAAACTAAAATTTAACTTGTTCATACCAACAAAAAAAAAAACCTGCAGATTTTCAAACCAAGAGGCTCATGAACAATTACAGGAGTAGGCTTAGCGGTCAAAATGTAAGTGCATCAAACAACCTGTAATTAGCTCCAAATGAATAGCTGCACTCTACTGTAGGCTACACTGTGTGTGATCTTTGAAGTCTTGTCCTTCAAAAAAAGGCACCAATGGACGAGGGTTGACCGGAAAAAAAAAAAAAAAAAAATTATTGAACGCAGCATAAATCATTCAATGTTTCTGCTCTGACTCACTTGTGTGCAGCACATGCATCATTTTCTTCCACATAATAAGCTGGAAGGGCCCTGAGAAGTCGGTGAATTCAGTCTGAATATTCACTGGCTCGAGAGACGTGAACGGCTTGCTATGGATGACTCTGGAGAGGATACAGAACAGAGAAAAACAAGATTGAGCAAATCATCTTTTCTTTTTAAGTCACTCTAAAATTGAATTTTACTGCAACTTAAAGTTACTCACTCGTCGAATGTCTCAGCCAGGCTCTGTTGGAACAAAACACATCTTTTGATTATCATAAAACACACTTCATATCCATCTTACAATTTCATAAGAATTTTGTTAACATGGTTGCTTGACGCGTGTTATAGAAATGTTTACTTCTTTACAGAAAATTAAGCTCATTTTGAACTTCAGTGTTACAAAAAACATGTCTCTGGGATTCAGCCAACAACTTCATTCTCACCAGACAGAGGCAGAAAACCATCTTTGGTATGAAGATATAAAAATAAAGCTTTGAATGGAATGGAGGAATGATTTAGAAGACATCTTTGTTAGTCTTATGAGGCTGATAAAATGGGAGGTATTTTGACACGTCATTATCGTTTTGCAGCATCTCGCAGCTCACAAGCTTGGGAGTCCCATTTATAAATCGTTGACTGAATCATGCACACAAAAAAGATTTTGTCTTTTAAATCCAGCACAATTATAAAGAATTTCAACACCACATGAAATTCAAAGTTATAAAATAAGATGTTGATATATATATATATATATATATATATATTTAAATAAAGAAAGACGACAACATATTCAGTGAAGTACTGCAGTATAATCTTCATCGAACATGGACAGAGTCTGTGATGCATCTGAACTGTAACAGCTGACATACTGGACTGACCTCAAAGCTAGTCTTCCCACTGATGTGACCGTGGATGTTCGATATAGCTTTGTCCACAGCTGCCGTCTCCGTTTCCACGATCTTCAAGTTTTCGTCTATTACAGCCATGGTGGCCACTTCCTCGGCATCCAGGCTCTCCAGCAGAGAGTCTCTCTCATCCAGCAGGAACTGGACCAGGGCCCCGACGTCTGCCTCAATCTTTTCCTTCAGTCTCTTTTTCTTCAACTGCAGGACAGAAAAAAAAAAAAAAAAACACAAGATGCTGAAAAGTGCCAACGCGTGTCTAGTATAAATGTAACATTTCAGTGCAGTGAGACGCTATGGTATAGACATAAAGCACTTATTTGGTATCCACACTGGTTTGCAATATTGCATTTTAAAGAACTTTAGAGACTGGAGAGGTTTCATTTCGATTGATCGGCAGGATCAGACACTGAATTTCAGCCTGGTCTGCAAACATTATTTATTTTTGTAAATCTAACTACATACATTAGAAAAAAAAAAGTTGTTTCATACCCTCGCTTCACTTCTGGTGCGCTCATCAGCCGTTAGAACTTTTACACATTGAGACTTTTGCCAGTTGAGCTCCATAAGCCTCAGTTTCAACTCCATCTGTTGTAAACATGGAAATAAACACAAACAAAGGGAAACAGGACACAATGAATCATGACATCAAAGAGTATAGAAGATTATATATAGCAAAGGCAATTCAACCTACCAACCTAATACACAGCAGATTCATACATGTAGACTTACCTTCATGTCATTCACAACTTCTGGAACTGGTGCTACCTCATGGTGTCTGGAATGACAAGCAAACAAGTGACCAGGCAGTACATGTTTCACACTAACCAAACACTCTTAAGTGCTTTATTGCAAACAATGAGACGGCAATGTTTACATTCTGGTTTCTCAAGGGGACTCACAAAAGAAGAAACATCGCTTCACAGCAGTAGATAATATGGTGAAAAGCTCCCCCGAGTACATTAAAAAACACCAAAGGGACTCTACTCATGGTGCATATGAACAAACTGTAGATCTGTGCATAAAGATACATTACTTAACACATCTGACTTCCATCCCTGTTAGAAAGGTGTGAATAAAAATGCCAAGGGCCCTGTTGCTTAGCAATGAATTAACCCAAGACTAAATTTCAACAGCCCTGACATTTGCTAACTCTCCTGGGTTGTCCAAGTGCAGGGGAACGAGATGTCCTCCGGTCTGGAAGATGACATTGTTTAGACTTTTGTTGAACATCTTTATCCAATCACAGACAGCCAAATGTCAGGCTGAGATTGTCATGTCATGTAGTCAAGGACAAGAATTAAAAAAAATAATGATAAAAAGCAATCTTTTACTATAGAAACTACACATTTAAAATGTACATATAGTTTAGGTTACTTTCACTAAATATCTATACACTGCCTACACGTAGGCCTACATGAAGTACGTTTAGGAAAATGACAGCTCATACATCAAGATTTAAGATTAAGATTTACTTTTACTGATCCCTGCAAGGGGAAATTTCTGTTTTTACACTCTGTAGTCATGCAACACACACACACAGGCTGAATTATACACACACACACACATGCACAAACAGGATCCGATGGACATGCACTAATGGAGAGATGTCAGAGTGATGGAGCGGCCCACAGTGGGCGCTGCTGAGCTGATGGTGGGGAGGGGGTTTGGTGCCTTGCTCAAGGGCACCTCGGCAGTGCTCAGGAGGTGATCTGGCACCTCTCCAGCTACCAGACCAACTTCCATATTTGGTCCACGCTGGGACTTGAACCAACCCAAGTCCCTACAAACTGAGCTACTGCCGCCCCATCCTTGAAGTCAATATTGTACCGTCTAAAACAGTGGTTTTCAACTGGGTAGCTTCAGGACCAACACCCCCAACTTCTTCATGAAAAATGCAGACACACATTTGCAACCCACTAAAAAAAAAAAAAGGCTCCACGACCCACTTTTGGGTCCCGAGTCCCGACCCACCAGTTGAAAACCACTGAGCACATTTTGTCATCAAAATATTTGTTGATAAAAATATATATATGCATGTCCATTTAAATGGCTATATCTACACTGGAAACTCTACCTGAGAATTGGCTCTGCAACTGAACAAAAAAAAAAGTTACAGCCTGATAATACTGTTATGAGAAGACAGCCCACCTGTGTGCTCTAGATTCTCTGCAGACAACACAGATGGGCCTCTTATCAGTCTGGCAGAACAACTTCAGCTCTTCGCCATGTTGGTCACACTTCCCATCTACGTTGACGGGCTTAGATGGAGTAGGACAAGAGCCCAGACACTCCAAATCATCCAGTTTGGACACCAGGTTTTGCACCAAGTAGTTTTTAGTGAAAGTTCTCTTGCTGAACACCTGAAACAAAAAAAAAACAAAGAAAAAAGCAAATGAAAAAGAATCAGGAATGTGATTTTAGTTGACTCGAAGTTTGCATTTATTTGTGTGTCATCTGCATTACAATATATCAATTGCGAGATGATTGATGGTGAGGTAATCCACTGACCTACTGGTAACTTTAAGTTATCTTATTACAGTCATCATAGCAACGGTAGCCACAAAATGCACTGCGTAGCTAATGCCATATTTTTCGAGGACCAGCCAACAACCAGCTCCTCCGATTTCGCTGATAAAAACTTCTCTGTGCTTCTGACACAAATGTCACAAGATATTTTTTTGCAGAAACGAAAGAAAAAAAAAAACCCCCACACACACACACACACAGATTACGTGCATTTACATACCGTGCGGCATTGAGGGCACTGATACCCGTAGTCTCCGCCATTTTCATCCCAGTGCATGCAGATACAAAACCGGCAGAAATTGTGTCCGCATTTCAGAATGACAGGGTCTTTGAAGAAGTCCAAACAAATGGCACATGTGAGCTCTTTCCTCAGGTCGTCTCCAGCTGCTCCAGCAGTAGCCATGTTTACAAGCCAGCACCAGAGTGCCACTGCAGGAAGTGAAGGAAGAGAAGGGAGGGGAGCGGGCTCATTTGTGGTGCGTCATACCACCTCTTAACCAATCAGATTCGTTCCCCTCCCTCCCTCTAATCACAGTCTGAGAAAAGGCTACAGGCTATGAAAAAGATGTTTCATGTAATCACACTTTTATTTCGGCACGCATTTTCAGTGTTATCTCTTTAATTCACTCATTGAACTCTGTGTTTCACTTTTCGCTCAACAAATAAAACCAATGAGATTTGAATTGGACTTGTTTAAAGGAAGCTATAGGCTACAACTGTGTATCAATTTGTGCATCAATTTCAACTTTCTCAAGTCAATGAATGCTGCCTACTTATGTTTTTGAATTTAAATGCTCCTACAGTTGTTGTTTTTTTTACATTGCTGACACCAAGTGGATTTTGTGAAACCAAAGGAACTCTACAACCTAAAGCACAAGGCCTAACTGTAATCATACAGTCCACAAATTATAGTCACAATAATCCTATTTTGAAGTTACTGAATAAAGGATCTGAAGGACCTGTCCCTGTTTCCAGTGTCGCACAGAGAACACATTAACTGTATTTTTTTTGTGTCAAACAGTTTTCTGCCTATATGCATTATTTACCAAGATTTTGCCAGGTCTAAACATGACCTTGAAATGTTTGTTGCTTTCACAAATCAAAGCCTCAAGTATGCCAATTCTGTGGTGGTGAATTCCATCAAGTCTTTTAGGTTCTTTTAGAAGTCTGAAGGTCAACCATATCGCTCTCCATAAAGAATGAGTAAAAAAGCAACAACCGGTAAGCAACAATATTTATTCTTAAATACATATACATAAAAACCCATTCATAAAAAGACACAAACTGAATATCAAGTTTGATTGTTTGTGCTAAAATTGTCATATACACGGGGTAAACTGGCTGTGGGATATACATTACATTGCATAGCTTGGATTGGCATGTGAGGGATGTGATTAGAAAAGTGCATTTCATGTCAGACATGTTGTTATTTCCAAACTATCAGGGCTCACGCTCAAAAAGAAAAAAAAAATCAGCTGGTTTTTAGCAGACTATTGAATGTATCATCATCGCATCCCTTGCTGAGTTACACCTCAGTTGGTTTCTGGTTCATCATCATATTAGCTAGCCCTGATAAACACTGGAAATAATTATACAGTGATGACTGATGACACCATAATAAGACAAATATTCAGGAACACTGACATCAGCATGTTGTTTACCATCACAGAGTAGGACAAAGGTTTAACAACACATGTAAACAAGGAAATTTCACCAGTGATAGCAAAACAAAAAAAAAATGAGACAGCAGGTAAATGTTAAATGGCTCAAACATAACACTTGTCATGGTGACATACTCATTTGTAAGCAGCTATTTTTTTGCATCCTTTGTTACAAAAACATGACTCAGAACATTGAAATCCCACACAGCACTTGCGACAACAGAGCTCACAGGAACATGATGTGAGAAGATTAAGGGTCAGACCTTCAGATATGGATACAGCATTTGCATGTTCACAGCACCACACTTATTAGCAGTGTAACACAGACATGGATAGTGGCTCTGCAGAGATTCTCTTCAGTAGTAAATAGTGTTACAACACACAGTCCATTTTGTGTAAAGCAAATCACACCTGAGTGTCTTTAAACATACCAACTTTAACCAGTGTCAATAAAAAATATATGAAAAATTATGCCCAAAGTATTGATAAGTTGTATAAATATTATTACATCACAGAAAGACACAGTGGAGCAATAATGCCGCAAAGATGGATAGTTTTAAATATTGTGGTAACAGAAGCAGTTATGAACTGTCAACACATTATAAAGTAAATATGAGCTTATAAAACACAAAAAAATAGATTAATCAACCAACGCAGCAACAAAATAAATGCTTAATACATCCATGGAAACATTCCTCATCATATGGTTTAAAGAAAATAAAAAGTGACTGGAGTTAAAAGATGAGCTGCAGGCTCAGAAACACAATATGTAACTGCAGAGGTATCCATCCCTTTCAAGAATGACGTGTAAGATCGGGAAGTTTTGCTTACAGATTAGAAAAAAAAAAGTGGTAGAATCTTGTGTTTCTTATTATTTTGAGTATATGTTGTGTAATCAAAAATGTTTAATATGTATATGTATAATTCCAGCTAAAATGTCAAGAAGAAAATGAGCCCTAAAGGCAAAGTTTACCCAAAAAATAAATATTCATCTGCCAAAAGCAGCATGTTCCTAAATGTTTTGTGGCCAAACATTCTGAATAGCGCTCAAATTAGACGACGTACAAGTCTTACCTTTGAATCCCCAATATTAATGAAAACAATGAGATTATATAGCAATGAATCGACAGTAGGTGGCAATATAGTCAACAGCTAGACTTTTGCATGAATTACACATTTAATGAGCCCCTAAAAAGTTGACTTCAATTTATTGCACATTAAATCAACATTATTTTTGCAGTTTGTCTAAAATATGGTGTTTTGGCTACGTATACTTTGATTAACTTCAGAGAAGTCTTGACTGACATAGGGAGAGGGTCGTTGTTCTTTTTTTAGGTCAACTTTTACTTTCTGAATGAACATGAAATCGAGCAGTGCCCTCTATCAGCGCTACAGCTGCAGCTCTTAATCTCAGAGTTGGCCTTCACGACACTAGCTTTATGGTTAAAGATCTCTCTGTGACTGGGACCGGTTCTGAAGGGTGGAACTGCTGCAGGCACTTTAACACCAGGAAGCATGTGAGAAAAGAAAATACCGGGCTACCAGCAGCACAGATAGGAATGTGAAGTGAAGACACCATGGTGCCGTTGCAGTCGTCATGGTACATAATGTAAAAATCCCCCCACAGACATCATACACACACCCAATAACCAATATGATCCGTCTCAGATTTTTGGTGTTATGACAGTAATTCAATAACAATTGAAAATACAAATAAAAAAAATTACAAAATCCCCTCACATACTCTTCACCCATGTGTTCATCTGTCCATCCATGCATCTGTTTGTCAGACCTCCGAGCTGTTGTGGCAGTCTTGCATCCTCACCACCAACATGGGCTCCGTACTGACAGACCCTTTCACCACCTCTTGCACGCCCTCCCTCCATCCCTCCTTCCCGTCCTTCTGTCTGGACCTCAGCACCAACACGATGGTGACAACGATGAGGACAGTCAGCAGCAGCCCCACCAGTGCCCCCACCACGGTCACCACACCCTCCTCTCCCTCCTCTGCGTTCAGCTCGCTCGGTTCCAGCTCACGGGAAAACAGCTCGTCGGACCCCCCACGCTTGGTACGGTCCAAAGCGATGTGCATGATATTGGTGCCTCTGTTGTTATCCGCTCCGATATCCTCAGCCACCACGGGGACTTCATCGCCGGCCGACCTCCTGGAGCGATGACCTTTGCCGCTTGGTGAGGTCAGAGCAAGATCGTTGGCAGCTGAAACAAAGGAGTGATACTCCAGGCTGCGCTTTCCGATGCCTCTGTTAGCATTCTCTTTGGAGCGGACGGTGTAAATGGTGTGGATGTACCACTCACGGCCTGCAGCAACCTGAGGAAATCACAAGAATATGGATATCTCTGAAACATGATTTACAAAAGAAAACAGAAAGGAAAGAGTTCTCCACTCAAATTTGTTAAGCAGACACTTCTGGATGCTCAATTAGCTCATCATTAGACATTCTAGAAACTTTACTTCAACAACTACACCAGTCTTGAATGGATTGGATTACACAACAAGACAAACAATGGCTTTGTTCAGCAGTTGTACAAGTATTTCAGGATTAAATCACAATAAGTCTGATAGTTTGTTATATCATACAACAATTGAAACAAAGATAACAATGAAACCACTCAAAGACAGACATAGAGTAACAGTGTGGTGGAAAATTCAATTTCAGAGCTATTTCTCTTTTTATAGCTGTCCAGAACAACAATAATATCCTACAACAGCATATCAATTTAAGGTTTTAAATATCGGATTGCCAGGTAACTTATTAAAATAATGAACAAATTACTTAAATGATTGACTGATTCTCAGGAACTGTACAATTTAAAATACCTGGAACATGGCTGTAGAGTCCAGCTTAAAGCCATCAGACCCCGGCTGTCTGACGAGGGACAAGGCTGAAGGGTCATCCACTGCCAGCACAGCATTAAAACCAACATCACCAAACACACGCGCCTGAGTCTCTGGCTGAGCCTTGTCCTGTTAATGTGCAAAGGTTCATTGGGAAAAGGAAGTGAGGATGTTATTTGTGTGGCTGATTGGAAAAATACCACTGTGCATCTTTTCTGCAAAGTCAAATTGCAACATTAACAGCGTAAATATATACTCACAAGAATCTTGAATCTATAGAGCAGTGATGGAGAGTCAGCCAAGCAGCCGAACTCAAACTTGGTGGGGTTGTACTTTGGTACGTATCCATCCGCACCGGTGCAGAGGAACACCTTCTCAATGCTACAGAAGAACGAGTCCCCCAGGTTCTGCACAGGGTCCACCATCACACGGCCGTAGATTGTATCACCTGAAATACAGTGAAATATCATGAATCCTACAGCTCGCAAAGTAATTTACACAGCACTCATACTTCTGAATTCTATATTTAACCAGTTAAGGGAAATACATTTTAAGAATAATACCATTGGTTCTGAATCTTTGATCTAATGAACTTAACTACTCATCTAAAGGAAACATTTCTTCAATATTAACACTCTTCCTTTCAAATAGTAACATCAGAATTCACTTCATAGTTTCCATTGGGTCAGTGTTTGTATATTTATTGTGTCCTGTGTTTCATGTATAAAAACCACAAATTCTTTGAATACATTTTTTTAAAGATTTATTTTTGGGCTTTTTGGGCTTTTATTTAGAGACAGGACTGTGTTTGGATTCGGAAATCAGGGAGAGAGAGAGAGAGCAGGGAATGAAATGCAGGAAAGGAGCCACTGGTTGGTTTAGAACCTGGGCCGCCCGCTTGTAGCACTATAGCCTCCGTACATGGGGCGCACTATAGCCTCCGTACATGGGGCGCACTATAGCCTCCGTACATGGGGCGCACGGACTAAACACTACGCTACCGGCACACCTGAATGAAACGTTTTCAATGATTCATCCAAATTAACTAAATCAAATGCTCATGTCACAGTCTCCCCCTGTGATCCTCTGGTTCTCAAAAAAATGTCAAAGTCCACATCTCCAGCGTGGAGAAGGGGAGGGAAGCTCGACACTGGTTTACAGCTACAGAAGATCCAGCGGTTCACATTTTTACAAGACGTTTTTTTGTATTGTGCTGACATGATCAAAATAATCTAACTTCAATGACAGAAAATTGACAGACCTCATACAAAGTCAGTTGTACCTTTTGTTGATGGGAACATACATTGACCAACATGAACTTGGTCTGATTACTTACGCTGCAAGGCTAAAAAAAAACCAAGGACTTACCCTCAGAAAAGGCTTCATCAGTCTCCTGACCGAAACCCATGGAGCCGTCAGAGAGCCACAAGCTCCTCTTGGACAGCAGGAACATCTGAGTGTTCAGACTGAACTCCACTGCAACTGGGTCGCTCACCTAAAAAAAAACAAAAAAAAAAACAAGATGAATAGCAAAAGATAGCATGACTTATGAAGACAATCTGAATACAAAGAAACATGTCACTTATAACATGTGAAGGTTCAAACGCAGGTGGCCTTACCTGTTGGAATCTGATGTCCAGGTCGAATGTGATTGGATCTCTGGGGCTGCAAACAGGTGGGACAGTGTATTCCATATTCTGGGCTGTTGTACAGGGGATCAGCTTCACGGTGTAGGTCCCAGAGTAGTCTCTTACCTGTACAGAACAGAGGGAACAGATTCTCAAACATCTGTCTTTGTCCTTCCAGCTGACTGAACACACACATTTACACAGCAGCCATTCCATGTGGAACACCATGTGGGCACAAAGGTAGTTCATGAAGTCATACTTACAGCAAAATCAGAGGTGAAGGTCCACTGCTGGACTGGCTGGTTGTATGTGGGCTCACTCCTCACTAAGGTGATGTTAAAAGTCAGGCCCGGGTGGTCCACACTCATCACCATGGAGGACATGGAGGTTTCTTGGTCACAAATGTGGAGAGTTAGAGAGTTTTTTTTTTAAGTGTTACACTGAAGTGATAATAGAGATAATTTCACTGATCATTTCATTTCTGAATCTTCAGTGGTGGTAGAACTTGAAAAGGTTGAAATGAGCTGTCTGTCTCACCTCTTTTTATTCTGCCTCCAGAATGAGAATGCACAAACAGACCCCTGAATCGAGCCTTGGTGCGGAAGTTCACCACCAGACGTCCCTGCTCGTTAATCCGCATGCTGGTTGGATACAGCGCACCTGTCAAAAAACAACATTAACACATCCGTTCTTAAAGAAACCGTACAGTCCAAACACACAAACTGTAATGTTACCTCACTCTTGTGAACTCACCCTGAAGCTCGGCCTGTGGGGGGCTCCCGATGCCGTCCTTCCACAGAATGGCCGTGTCGTACACAAAAGTGAGGCGCAGCTCTGACTGCAGGTCAAAGTGCTGCCAGCCTCCGGTTCCCACAGGAGAGTGAAACACATAAGACACGTAGAGAGGCACGCGCAGGGTCACATAGGACTGGACCAGGTTCAGCACCTGTTAAGTGTTTTAATAAATGATTAACGTACATGTAGAACTAAGACTTTCAAAATCATATTAAATGTAATTATCGATAATCAACAGTTTGGTATTGGTTGTAAAACTGGCAAGAAATTCTGATGACAACAAATGTTTGACTTTTGTTTTGGAGTAATGGTTGACTGTAGGTTGATCATCTATAATAAGAATGAGAAGATGTAACAGATTGTTTGGAAACCTTGCTCTCCTCCACAAAGTGCAGGAACTCTCTCACTCCTACTCAGTTTGGCAAAAATGCAGAGAAATGAAAGACTTGGTGATGTGAACACAAGAAAACAAACATGTTTGTGCTATGTGCTTGTGTTACTCTTATCTAACTCCCTAAGTCTTTAAAAGCTGGATAATGTTGACCATTATGGAAGCACAAAAATAATCTCTAAGATTTAATTTGAATAACAATAAAACAAACAAAACAAGTAAATGAAGTATATAGTGATTTTTTACAAGCTAAAACAAAAAAATACTCCAATTCTACCCTTTTCTGAACAATCTTCTACTTTACTTGAACCCTTGTTAGTGTTTAATCTCTGATGTATTTCCATCAGTCAGCCACTAGGTGTCTCTGCTCACCAACGTTTTATTAATCATTTGTGGGATTTGAAAGATTTGAGCCATGCATGTGCCCTAACAGTTTGACAACGTCAGATATGTTTATAAAAACTAACACAAAATTCATCAAGTTCGACTTGTTTGACTTCAAGTACGGACACATCAACTTGAAAATGAGTTACCACATTTAACACAGGCAATGGGAAATAACTAATGACGATGTCAGAGAACCTAAAAAGGCCAAACATTCTAGAGGATGTTAAAGGCATTTCTCTGATCACCCTTCTTTCTCACTTTTTTACATATTTTGTGGCATCAATTCTTATTTAAAAAAACAGCCTTTCAATGGGGATCACACCTGATATTTTATGACACAAAATCAGACCTTTAATTCACTGCACTGCAAGTCTTTGTAAAGTTAAATGACTGAATCAGGATCCAAATGAGAAATGAAATGATTGCTATCTGAGTGTCAAACTATCTCATCCCAAGGGGTTTAAAAAAAAAAAAAATCTTACTTGAACATATTCTTAACTAGATGTGACTGACTGAAGCAGAATTAAGACAGCAAATGTCACAGTGAGATTCCAACGGAGGTTCTTATCTTTTCCTGTTAATTCATCCTTTCAATTATTGTAAGTACTCGTCAGGAAACAGAACTTACTCAGCAGACATGCAAACCAAAAGAAAGCCGTAGTGGAGGTCTTCACAGCGCAAAAAATTTAGTTTTTTTTCTCCTGCTTTTCAAAAGTAGCTAAACTATTAATTATTTCTGATTATTTGAACCCCAGTTAAGCTGCAAGGCTATGGCTGATTTTTGTTCTTTTCCACAAACAAAATAGCCAGAAGAGACAGTGTGACAGTGATCTCTGTTAACGAAGAGGACCTGAAGGTCATGGAGGATGGGCGTCTTGCGGGAACGGTGTGTACAAGCTGTCACTGGGGACAAGGAAATTAATTTCCAATTTCATCTCTCTCTCTCTCTCTCTCTCTCTCTCTCTCTCTCTCTCTCTCACACACACACACACACACACACACACACACACACACACACACGCACACACACACATGCACGCATACACACACACACACACACACACACACACACACACACACATGCACGCATACACACACGCACACACACACACACACACACACACACACACACATGCACGCATACACACACACACACACACACACACACACACACACACACATGCACGCATACACACACGCACACACACACACACACACACACACACACACACACACACATGCACGCATACACACACACACACACACACACACACACACACACACACACACACACACACACACACACACACACACACACACACTCGGCAGTCTGATCAGCAACAAGAAGCTCACAGATCAAAGGCTGGAGGAACACAAAGGAGCAGCAGGACATGAGCGAAGGAGCAAAGGGTCCGTTTCCTAATCCACAACAACAAGAGCAGTGAGAGTGCTGCAGCTCTGTGCGGTATACAATACAACAACAAAAAACAACAACCACAAAATCAGCTGCAACAATGCTACAAAAGCAGCTAATTGACAGCTGACCATGATACCAAAATAATACAGCAATGTGATGTCTAACTTTTCTGCTGAGCTAGACTGTCAAAATCACAAAGCCAGTAAAGAAAACAGAGGTACAATTCAGCTACAAACCCTGACAGTAGGTATGTGTACACAAGCCATCATTAAAGTATCTGTCCTTTCATGATTTCAGATATTATTTTAAAGCCCATTTCACACATGCACTCTTGAAAATTCCCCAAAAGTTCATGAAAAGCCTACCCTTGACATTTTCAGGAGTTTTCAACCATGTCTGTCATAGTGGCAGATTCGCTGTCAGACAGAAGGGGGATGTCCCAGGAGGTAGTACATGGCATTAAAAAGGAGTCTGCAAGCATCACCATGTAATGTTTACAACATATTTAAGAAGGTGGACTAAGCAATAGTCTAATGCTACGATGACAGTTTTTGCTTTTATATCAATGCTGTGTGTGATTAGTTGTTGACATGCACAGATTGGCGTTGATTCCGAAATTAAAAAAACACCATCATCCCTGCTTGAATTTCTCTAATACTACTGTCTGTATTTGTACATCAACTCATCCGACTTAGTTGGAAGTTTTAATAGGAGGCTGGCCAAAAAAAGTCTGGATATAGTCAGGGTTAAAAAATGTTACAGCTTGCGTTCATGCACCCAGCTCACCTTGAAGAATCGGGGGTGACTGTAAGGCGTGTGGTGCATGTGTGTAAAAGGGGCTTTGTGTTTTATATTTATAAGTTGATAGCAGCAGAGTGCATGAGGGGAAGTGGTTACCCCTTTAAATAAAAAAATAAATAAAATTGAAAATAATAAAAAACTATATATTTTACCTATTTCTTATAAACATATACAACAGAAAGGTGGGTGACAAGCAACAATGTACGTGTCTGCTGCTTTTTACAGATGCACACACCTGTGTGTCTATCATTTAGTTTATTATTTGTATTTGTATTGTAGTCAGGCTGTTGTATTATTTTGTGTTCTTTTGCGGGTTAGGGTTTGGATAAGTCTATCATTGGGTGTGTGTGGCGGTGCACTACGATATAACAACCACCACCAGGGACAGTTGAGGTCCCCAGTATATGGCCCCCTCATTTTGGGGGTTGCAAGCTGAAAAGTTTGGGAACATTAGGGGAATGGATGACAGGCGTTTGTGTGTCTGTGTATGTTTACTATGCCTGCACTCACTGAAAGCTGTCATTCACATGCTGGGGTACAGAGCTGGCAAACACAAACACACAGTGACTGAGACGTAAAATACAGGCAAACAGAAATGGTGCCTTTGTGTCTGTGCTTGTAAATAGACTGATCATACACACAGGGACACACACACACACACACACACACACACACACACACAAAGGCCGACAGTCAAACAGATGTACATCCAAACCCTAGACTGGAATTTATACATTGTTTACATAAACACACATACACAAACAAACACAAACACACATACCTGTCCGTCGGTCCCTATGGTGCCTCCACAGTCTGTGAGCAGCTCAGACATGTCGTAATAGCTGCTGAACTCCCACAGACAGGCCTCCAGGTTCAGGTTCCTGTAAAAGCGCAGCGTGCCGTTCCCTCGCAGGGAGTCGCTGAACTGGTAGGGCGCCGTGTCTCCCATACTCTCAGGGCTGCGCGTCGAGGCAGTGATGAAGCCGTGACCTGTGCTGACCTCGTTGTAGTCGAGCAAGTTGGAGCAGCGGTGGTTTCCAACCCGGGTTCCGTCGGGACTAAGAGTCAGATCAAAGTTCATGAGGGGGGCGAGTGGAGATTACCGGAAGCATGCCTGCGGGGCAAAGAGAGACAATGTGATTCAGAATGTGTCCGACTACCTTTGATACAAGACAGCATTATTAAAAAAAAAAAAAAAAAAAACTTAGAGGAAAGAGAAAGTTGAGTGAAAAGGGAGAAAAGAAGTGATGATAGATAAAGCAGCGGGGCAACAGAAAAAAGCAAGACGGAAATCTGAAGCGGAAGGAAGCTGATTAAAAATCAAAAAGGGAATGTTAAGTAGAGGCTCTGCTGGTAGATTCCTACAGCGGCGGTTTGATACAACTCGGCAAGATCCATATTCTGGCTGTCACGCTCCCGAAGATCCTCAGACGTGAATATTACACACACTACATTACACTCCGCTTCATCCTGCCTCCAGCTCCTACCTACCATCTATGTGTGGCATGGTGACAGTCACTCTGATGAGGTTGGGGGTGTTTTGGGTCGTCCGCTCCAGTGTAGCGTAGCTTGGCGGAGAAAGGCTCGGCGCCGACTGTCCCCATCTTACGTGGTTGACACATGCCTGAATATGACAGGGGAGGAGGAGACATCTTGAAGGACATGGCGGTACAAACCAAACGTGTGGCTGTGATTGTGTCTACAGGTTATTACTCATTTCATAAATCCACTTCAAGTGACTTTTACATACTCACTGTTGACACCCACCCATGTTAGAATCTAAAACACATATAAATGAGACAGTAGCAATTTTTTTTTTTACATTTAACAAGTAGTGTGGTACTAGACTTTAACATACTGTAGAGTAAGCAGACTGTACCCAGCTGGGCAATATTTTACAGCGGGAAAATCCCAACTGTAACACAAAGAATATGTACACCATGAAAGGCTTTAGCAGTAGCATTAGCTTTATCATACAGGGTACATGGTATAGACCAGCAGCTATCACTTTAACAGAAGAGGAATTGAATTACTTGGTAGGAAAAACACAAGTTTAGATTTGGTCACTGGTATCACCGAGGAAGAAATATAGTATTGGAAGATCTCTAGAACTTAAATGTTTGAGAATATGATACATTGTTATGGATTTTTACTTGATTCTACTTACTTCTACATTAATTAATCTGCAACAATCAAATCCAATGATGTTTAACAGCACTTACAGGGTCCAATTTTCATAGCACTTTTACCTTTTAACAATCTATTTAAATTTTGAGTATAATACATATGCTAATGTTAACTAATGTTTAATCCAATAAGATTTTGAATGTATTCTAGTAGAGTATTTTTACATTGTGGTATCGTAACTTGAAGCTTTACTTGAAGCTACTTTGAGTAACATTCATTTTGTGTCCATCTCAGCGTCAAAGTTAAAGCCTAATATGTCTTTGTCAATCTTGCCCTGCGTAGGTGAAGTTAGTGTTTTTTGAAGAAAAATACAAGTCTGATTATTTTGAACAGTAATGCACACCACTCACTGTGAATATGGAGTCAGAGAGACAACATGTTCCTGTTTTTAATCCAGCTTGCCAAATATTTTGTACCTCAAAATAACTGTGTTCTTCTCTTCCTGTAAAATGTTTCATATGTCTGAGGACTCATCCTTCACTCAGGATTTTACCAATTTTTTCGATCAATTAAAAGCTTTGTCGAAGCTAACTATCCAATTGAATTCCTCCAAATGTTATGTCCCGCACTCTACCTGGTGATTGGTTCTATCCCGTTTCAATTAGAAATACATCATGACACGGCAGTTAGATACTCTCGAAGTTCTGTTTCATGGGGACTTTAAATCAATGGAACTTCCTGTCTGAATGCTGTGAATCAATTCGACTGACCCTGACCAGATGACAGAAGTGACTAGTATTAAAAATACAGACTCAGAACTTATAAATATTCTCCCTGTGGAGGCTTCAGTATTCATTTTAGTCAGTTTCATAAAAAAGCTAAAAACTCTGAGTGACGGATTTGAGGTCTTTTATAGGTGAAAAAAGAGAAAACAACAATGTGGCACCAATCATTTTGCATTGTTTATCATTTTTTGAGTGTTTCAAGTGTACTTTTCCGTGAATGTGTCTTTTGTGCAGCTGTACTGTACAGAAGGTACTGCAAATTCAGAAGTCCTTTTCCTCAGCATTCATGGTTCTTGGAGCAAAAAAGCCCTTTTGTTCCTCACTGCTACATGCAGCCAAAACATGTTTTTTTTTTCCTCACCAAGAAACCTGGCAATGTTAGACACAGAGACAGATATTCATTGTTCTCTCCTCACCTTCCTGCATGTTGATTGTGACAATGGGGCTGTTTAGCTCTAAACCCTCATCCCCATTTGAATTAACAGCCCTGGCTGCACACTGGATCCTGGAGCCTGCGTGGAAGTAGACCGAGTCCAGTGTGATCATCTTGGAGGATGTGAAGAAGGTGTCAAAGTCCACCTCCCTCATGGGACTGGTGACGCCATCGGCGCCAGCTGGGGCGCTGATGAGCCAGCGGTAGCGGGTGAGAGTGTTGTTGATGTGCTCGCTGACACAGATCGAGCCCGTCTTGTCGTAGTCTGGGTATTTTGTGTTGCACGCCTGAGGGACGGATAAGGATGTTAGCAAGAGTGGGCGGGTGGGCAGGGACAGCACAGAGATGGGAATGATACAGCAGATGCCAGAGGACAAACGGTGAGAGAGAGAGGTGCAGAATACAAACTAACAAGCGAGTGGAGCAGAGGAAATCCAGATGTTTCAGCATGTTGTGTTTTTATATTTAAGTTTTTAAAATTTCTTATTTATAGCAAGAAAGCGATATGTGACTTAGAGGAAACTTTGAAGTGCTGCCATGGATATCCTCTTAAACCTGATGACACCGCGCCTCCTGATGCAGCACTCAATATTTCAGTTTTGACAAGACTACTTCATTTCCTCTCCCTGGCCACAACACACACTGCACACACACACTCTCTGACACACACACACACACACAGGAGCCACCTGAGGAGCAATGTCTTTACACATCAGGAAGAGCCATTGAGTTGTCTCTCTCAATCTGCATCCAAGAGCAGAAGTAATTCTCCTGTGAGTGAGAGCACGAGGACTAAACTGTGTGTTGTGTCTGTTAAAGACAGACTTGGCGAGTCCAGAAGGACAGTTTAACTTTGACTTTGAAGAAAAGTATAGGTCTCCAGGTCCTGTTACATCATTATAGAAAAAAAACAATACACGTTTAACTGAAGAAATGTGCAACATTTGTAGACTGTTGGGGCGACAAAAGCAACAAAAATATAAACTTTCTATCCTGTGTTTAGAATCTAGGAAACTCTTAATGGTCTACAACATTTTTATGAGGTCTGTCAGTCAAAAGGCATGGCTTCAAATTGATCATGTCGCTTATTCTTAAATGTATTTAAAACCACACAGTCTGAATTTATATTAATGCACAGACTTTAAAACATAAGAGATGAGTTAAGCTATTTTATGGCTTTTAAATAAAAACTGTTCAAGAATCTGGAGGTGCAACGGAGTGAAGAAATGGTTCTCAGGTTGAGAAAAATTGTGTCTTTGGTCCGACACACACACTGGGTTTTGTAAATGATACACAAATATATTGTCCATCAACTAAAAATATCCATAAAGATATTTCATACCATAACACTTACAGAGGCTTATTTTCATAGAATTATCTTCAAGTTTTACTTTATTTCAATATTTACAAATTTTGATTAGGTGACTTTTTACACGTAAGCCTTTTACTTTAATGGAGTTTTTATACATTGTGGTATAGGTACCTCTTAGTGAAGGATCTGAATACTTCTTTAGATTTGTTCATCACGAGGCAAAAAATCTTTCAGAGGAAATGTTCAAATTGAATTGTAGTCTGTCAAGTTTCAGTTTTCTGAGTGCTTTTAGTAGGCTGTTTTTGATTGTGAACGTTTCAACTCAACCGCACAAAAATCTATAAAAAGGGCAAATTGCGTCCCTGAATGTGGTTCTAGTTTGACTCACCGTGACACAGATGACTGGGTATCCAGCGGGTGGTGGGTGAAGGTTGTCTGAGGTCCTGGCGATGTCGTCGTAATGGAGCAGCGACAGCACATGTGGCAGCGAGGGGAAGGTGACGTCAGCCATGCTGTTTGTCTCCTCGATGTACACTATCACTTTAGTTACCTGCTCCAGAGAAAACGAGGCATAATGACACATTGCTGTGTGTGAATCGTGACACTGCAAATTAAAATGATTATAATCACAGCGTCAACAATCTCACAGTCATGGCTTCCCTCTTTTATCTCTGTTTTTTTTTTTTTCTCTCCCCCTGCTTTTTCTCTTCCGCCCGCTGCTTTTTTTCTTTTCATGGATAATCTATTATTTATTGCACATTTTTTTCATCGTTCTTTTGGCTTCAACTCCAGCATAGTGCCACTGTTGTCCGAGCCATGGCAGACTCATAAAAGAGATGTCTGATCTCAGAGGGACTAACCTGGATGAATATGGGTCAAAGCAGAAGAAAAAAAAAAGTTTTCCTTCTCTTTACTGTTTCATAAAGCGAATAACTGTCAGTTTGGATTCATGTGCGATTGTTGCGTGGTGGTTAGGCACGAGGATGAATCTGACCTGAGTTTCAGCCACCATGTTTTCATCCGGCTTCAGGTGGAGAGTAAACGCTTCCCTCATCTCTCTGACGCCATCAAACAGCACCTCCACCTCCACGATATGTTCCTTATCCCCCTGTTTGAACTCAATGTCTGAGCACACACAATACAACACGAAAACACATCATTAGAACTACTGCAGAGCATTGACAGAGGGTGTTTCTGAAGCGCTAACAATAGTGAGGTTACTTGATGTCAAAGTTTCTCTCTTTTTCTGCTGCCTCTAGTTTTTTAACAATGATATGAAAAGCCTCTCCGGTCGACTAAAATCGTGATTTCGTGCTTCAGAGTAAAAAAAAAAAACACATCACTTAGCTAAAAAGCATTGCAGGGTTTCTATTTGCATAGTGCTTAAGGTGGCCCCATCTTCTGTGCGAGATAAGTAACAGAGCTTTGCATTGGAAATGTGCTGCACTGAGAAAATACTGTGCAAAATGAGAAATTCAACGGTGTATGATTCAAAACTGCTGGAAAATTGGCACTTTGTGAACGGTGGCTGGGCAGGTATGATTTGAATAGACTGAGAGTATTTATATAAATATTTCAAGCCTTGATTAAGCTAGGAAAGGTTCACTGCTTAAAAAGCTGAGTGGATAGAGAGGAAGATTTCACCCTGCTGACAAAGCATGAAGAATGCTGAAATTCAATTTTAAATTACCTGACCCTCCACTGGACTATTGCAAAAAATTACCTTTTTCCCATTTGGGATGAAATTAGAAATCAATGACCCTCGCTGAAATAAATCCCCATGCCGTCTTTTATTTATTCCACATTCCTCTGAGAAGCCTTGTTTCAAAACCTTTTCATTACAGTCACTGCTACCCATGCATAATGGAAACCTTTAAGAAGGATCTCTGCAGGATAGGTGGAACAAAGATGGCTTTGTTTTATGGCGTCTTATGAGGTAGGACATGCAGTAAAGCTCATTTGTAAAACTTGATACTCATGTTTTAGATTTTCATATAATTCACTGATTTATAATTTATCTTTAACATTCTTGTGAAAATGAGATTTTTCTGTATTACTTTTCTTTTTTTTAATTCTTTTTTTTACTTTCAACAAAAGGAACCACAAGGGAATGTGTGTGACGATCACCTTGAGACACGGGGTAGTAGTCCTCTCCTGAGATAGCTGACCCGTCTTTGGTGTGAACGCGAACAACGGATACCTTTGATGTGTCTCCAACTCGCACCACAGGGACCATCACAGTTGCTACTGTGCCGGCTTCTTTCGGTTCACTGACACTGAACTTTGATTCCAAAAATCGGATGATGGGTTCTAAGGTACAAAGAATGAAGATAAATAACAAACTGTTGAGTTATGGAGCAAAACCTTGAATTATCACGGCTAATTAGAAATCAAAGCTGTGCTTCGACATGAGTTTCATATTAATCAGACCAAACTATTCTTATATTCAGAGAAAACACGCTGGATTAACTGCTTTTAATTCCAGTGTGTTTCTCATTTCTGCCTTTCCTCCCCCTCCGTCTCCCTCTCCTCAACAAACTTACTGTCAGCCGTGTCCTTGATTTTCAGCAGGGTCTCACTCAGAGCTCCCACTGACGCGCCAAACTGTGAGTCGCTCTTCGGGTTCCCTAAGACCAACCGCAGCTCCTCTCCTTCCTCGTACAGCGTGTCATCAACCAGTGACAGAACACAAGGCTTCTCTGTCTCGCCTAGAGTGCACAGCGAGATAGTGATGACGGGACATGTCAAAAGACAGGAGATGAGAAAGGAGAGAATAAAATCTAATACATTTTTACATCATAACACGTCGTATTTATATAACTATTTCTCCCTTTGTTTGGCTCCTCCAGAGTTTCCTGAAAGCTTTTGGCACATACTGTGTAAAACTTTAGCTGAAAATGAGCACAGCAGGTAATGTGTGGAACATTAAAAAACCTGCAAGATGCACTTGCAATGTCTGCAAGGCAATGTTGATTTTTGCAGAAAATGTGACAAAAAAAAAAAAAAAAAAAGGAAAGCAGTGTACTGTTCAAACCTGTATTTGATTAACAAGGTGTCAACTTTTTTAAGTCTTAAGAGAAATCTTAAGAGAAAACTTGTGAGATGCGATTGCTGAAGCACCTGGCAGGAAAGTGATGATAGACGCATCCGTGTTGGATCGCTCATCAAAGTCAGAGGCGACCTCCGCAGAGCCCTGCCGGGTGTAGCAGCGAGCGGTGGATTTGTGTCTGATGTCTCCGCTGCGGTACACCGTCGCTGTGATCTGACCGTCGCTCTCCTCTCCGGTGTACACGGGCTCACGGAACTGGACCTTCGGCACTGTCAGTCAACAGGAGAGTTCAATCATTAGAAACGACAAGGAAGTGTTAGAGTCTCCCTCTGTGCCTGGCCTCATTTTAACAGAAATTATTTGAAGAGCATATCAAATAATATCAAGTAGCTTTGACATGCTTGTTTTTCTGACTGAACATCTGTAATGATCATTTTGAAACTATAAACACACTTCAAGAGGAAAGAGTTATTTTGGGTAGTGGAGCTAAATTTAAGAGCAAAGAAGTTGTTAGTAAAAGCTACAGGAACTATTTCGCTCTTAAACACTTGGAGTACGATGCTTATATTCACTTCAAGGCAAAAACCCAGATCTTACCATTTGTCTAAACTCTAGTCAGAATATCTTATCACACTTAACATAAACCACATTCCAAAACAAGCCCAAATGTAACATCTTATTAAGCTATTACAAGCAACAAAATAAGGCCTGAGTGGATTCTAATTGGTAAAAGTAACTGCCAGTGCAGCAAGGAAATTTCATCTTGTAATAAGATGTAATATCTAACAAAATGTGCTTTTAATATCTTGAAACAAGATGTTACATCTGGACTTGTCTGGTGAACTTGGTTTATATAACATGTAATGGGATATTTTGACTAGAAATTAGAAAATGTGACTCTAAATTGCCCGTAGAAATGACTGTGAGTGTTGTTTGTATCAACATGTCACTCACCCTCCCTCACCAAATGACAACTGGGATCGGCTCCAGCCACCTGCAACCCCGAATAGCATATGTGGTATAGATAATGGATGGATTAGACAAATGTAAGATCTGACTTTGAGCCGTAACTTTATTCATAGGACTTTTGACAAAAAAAAGCTTCAAAATGTTGAAAACTGACTTTTTTTCCCTCTGATGATGGTGCTTAAAGAGAAGTCAAAGAGCACCATTTCAATCTACTCTGAGAGTGACATGATGACCTCCACCAAACTTTGTACCAATCTTTTTGCAGTAGATGTGGGTTAGAGCTTTGTAAAATGACGAATACTGAGGATGAGAAAAGACACAGTAAAAGAGTTGAAGAAAAAAACCTAAAATGATCACTTACAGTCAGACACTGAGTCATTGATGAAGACTGCAGCTTTCCCAGGTTCTCCCAGAATGCCGTTCACTGGCATACGTAGGACAAGCTCAAAGCTCTCTATTCCCTCCAGCTCAGGTTGTCCCAGATCATCCAGGATGGTGACCCTGAACGTCTGCATGCTTACACCGGGGGCAAAGTCCAGGTTACGGCTGATGCCCACATAGTCAACGCCGGCTTGAGCAAGGATAGTGAGGGGGAGAAGGATAAAAAAATAAGAGGAGAGGATAAGTACTGATAACAAACACAGATGATCTTTGAGGTATTTCCAACAAGACTAGAATTAGTCGCCTACCTTCAGCAGAGACGGGCTCGGCCTTGCGAGAGCGCACGGTGACAGTGCCGGTCTTCGACAGATCCGTTCCTGTCCTCCACACTTTGACCTCCACAAACCCATCACTCTCATCCACGTGGTACTCCACCTCTCCGAAGTAAAACACAGGAACTAGAGAGTAGAGAAGAAAAAAGTGAATAAAAATTAATGAGCAGTATTTTTTTATTCTTTTTTAACTATACCCTGCTGTTTCAACTTGCAATCTCGTCCCTGTTGTTTATTGATGCAGCTTGACTTCACAGTGAAACCCTGCCTTGTTTGTGCAGACTTTGTTACATATTGAACTAAGGAGTTTTTTTATTGAGGGGTGCACATTTTGCCACTGTTGGTTTTGCCTTTTAGTTCTCTGCTTGTTTCTTCACGCTGTTTGAAATGAACTCAAACTCCACATCAAAGTCCTGCTTGTCACTAAAGTCATTCAAGCTCAGATGACTCACCTTTGCAGCAGTTTAGACTTGCAGTCTGGCTTTCTGTAAACTTTACTTGTCTTATCTCCATATGTGTGCACCTGTGGTAACATTAGACCTGTCAGCAGCCCCACCGCAGTCTGACATGATTCAATTGTAAAGCCAGCAGCCGGACACGGGGGTCAAAGAGCAACAGCCCATTAGTCTCAAGTTAAACTGCAGGGGAGCATAACCTTCCAACCTCTGCTGGCCTCCAATCTAACCTCCTTGTTACCATTCTTCTGACGGAAATAACCACTTTCAAAAAAAAAGGATGCAGTTAGCGCTGGAAAAAAACAAGACCTGTGTGTGTGTGCTTGTGTGTCTTCCCCCGAATGTGGCATAAAGAGATGGTGAGAAAGAGAGAAAGAGGCCTCCCAGACTGCTCAAAGGCCTGTTTGAACTGGCATTGTTTCCTGAGGCAGCAAAGTGGAGGCAGTCCAATGTGTATTTGACAGCTTCATCTCTCACAACCTCCCTGTCAAGTCCAAAAAAAACTGGAGGTATAAAAGTTCCTCTGTCTCTGTTTTAAGTCTCTCGCTCAGCTTCTTTTCTTATATTCTGCTGGCATGTAATCCAAAAATAGCAGGCGTATTATCTTGTTTTTTTAGTGTCATGATCAAATACTTCAGCAGTCCAGAGATAGTTGTTTTTTCCTTTATACATACTTTAATATTTTATTTATATACTTTAACTGGGCCACATAACAAAAGCTAAAAATAGTGCATATAACGAAGGGAACGGTACAAATTACCGCAGTTATAGTTTGAGTTTTAGTTTTGCAAAATAAGTGACAGCCCAGGGCAACAATATCCACAAAGTCTCACACATCAAGTGCAGCCTGTGTCCTCCCTCTCAACCTAAACATTTGCTTTCTCAATGAAACTATTTCTTTTTTTCCTCCTACACAGTCTGCCTCACCTTACAGATGAAGCGCAGGTTTATTATGCAAATGAGAGCTTTGCACAATAGCAGTGTAAACCCGATTGTGTAGGTGGGAAAAACAGATGGATAAAAACATCAGTCCAAACACTCAGGTAACAGTCAGGGAGCTGCTATCTGTTTTTTTGTTTTTTGGATGATTTTTATGGTGTTGAAACATGTCACATATCTGTAAACACTGTGTTTCATATCTGGCACACATTCTTTTTTTATACTCAAAGACACGTTTGCTCAAGTGCTAATATACATGTCTGCGTTCACACATCCCGACTGTGCCCGGGGACGACAAATTCTTAACACCATGACAGGGAGACTGATGAGTGATGAGTGAAAACTACATCCTCTCTAACCCTCTGGGTCCACGCCTGTGGTTTAGCACTCTGAAGTGTGTGTGAGGGCCGGGACAGGTGTAAAACCCAAATTGTGATAATTATTATGTGTGGGGTTTCTGTAGCCATTTGTGTGTCACTGTTCCTTTAAATGCAGTTTATAGAGCATTCTCAGCTGTCTTCTGAAGGAGGCCCCTGCTTTTGGAGGCAGGTGACTTATAGGATCTTAGAAGATTCTCTGTAAACACTGAGGAGCTTTCTCTTCGAGTCGGAAACTTTCCTTTGGCTCAGGGGGTTGAAACTCGTGCATTCATGGCTAAGGACAGCCATTGTTTTGATGATTTCGTGTTTCTTGTGTTTTGATCGAATGTATGCTTTTGTTTGTATGTCAAAGTACTTTGAAAACTCTTGTTTTTTATGTGCTAAAAAAAATAAAGTTATTATTATTGCAATTCCCAAACTTAATAAATTCTTCGGCCTAATTTAAAATCTCACAATATTCAAGGTCCAAATTCACACTCTGATCAACACTGAAAGAAGGCAATACGCTGAAAATAAATAATAAGACACATATTCCTAACATAAAGTCATAAAGTAAGTCCAAACTAAATATACATTTATAGCTTCTGGCTTAGGAAATATAAAGGAACAAAATTAGTAAATGTAAACAGTCTTGATCTTGTATAGTGCGCTTCCCAGTCTTCTGAACTCTCAAAGTGCATTTACACTGTAAGTCACATTCAAACCATTCACACACAGACAGCAGAGGCTGCTATCAATACATATCCACATACCACTGGAGCAGCAGCGGAGTAACTCTTCAGTGTCTTGCCTAAGGAAGCACACATTCATATGTAACTGCAGGACATGGGGATTGAACCTTCTGTTTGAGAGGATAAACTTTAATTTTGTTTATTTTACACGACTTTATCTCATCTGTGGTTTTAAGTAAAAAAACAGTTGGACAGTTTAACCTGAGAAGAATTCCAATGAAACATCACTTATTACCAATTTGATTAATAAGATTTACAAGCTGTCAAAAGGAGTTTTCCAGTAAATCCCGCTTCAACAGCAGGAGTTACAAGACAAAGATCTTGGGGAACAAAATCCCCAAATGTGGTAATCTTTGTATACATGTATGGGTAATGCTGTTTTTGCATCCTTTATGGGAAATGTTAAGAGATGGTTCTTTTTTTCTTTAAAATGTTTAAATTAGAATATTTTGTCTCTTCAGATTAACAGTAAGAAAGATTAGGAGAGGGGCCTGTCATAATTTGCCTCTTCTATGCTAACTGAGGGTGTGTGTTGGAATATGTGATGAGATCCAACTATTTAAAATTTAAATAATTTGGTTTATGGATGGAAAAAGTGCCAAGATAATGACAAAATATGTGAAACTAAATTCCTTCATCTCCAAGCCTGCAGCAATTCACTTTCTGAAGTCAAAAAAATGTCCCCAACTTTTTCCTATACTGTACATATGAGCAATGGTTGACCAAATCTGCTCCCTCTGCAGTGTGACCAAGAGTAAAGCTGCCCCAATATTGAAATGAAGGACTGGGGTTTCCAAGAACTTTTCTGAGCTAATCTACAATTCCACAAACTCAGCTGTGGCCGTATGCACCCGGCTGAGAGAGCCTGACAGTCGTCCCTCCTTGGCAGGGAACAAGGAGATGACAACACTCACTTTGAGTCAGAGTGTGCAGCCATGCGGAGCCCGACACTCAGGGAGACAGGTACTGTAGGGTTTAATCTGATAAAGTACTAAATCTAGCAGACACCCCTGGGTCTTTTTTTTTTTTTGCAGCTAAAGTGAAAGAAAGTGTATGTGTGTGTGAAAAAGAGAGCGAAATAGATGGAAGGAAAAGAGACAGACTGAACTTGACTTTGACCTGGGGGAAGGAAAAATAGGGCGAGGGAGAGCAATAGCACGCATGCAAGTGCTTTTCTCACCGCTTATTTTTGATGCTTTTGAGGTCCAACCATACACACACAAATAAATACATATTCACAGCACACAGGCATCAACACACACACACACACACACACACACACACACACACACACACACACACACACACACACATCTTCTATGCTCATGTTTCATTATTTTCCTTGCAGAGTTGAGTATTGTGCAGGAGGCTGCAGTCTGACTGTCTGTGTGCAGGTATCAGAGCTCCGTCAGACGGTGTGTTATCCTCTGGGAGGCTAAAAATGACACAACATCTCTCACTGGAGTTGGGCCTTCACAAACACATTCCTTTGAACTCAACGTCTCGACTGAAGTCTGCTGACAATTTACGAACAATCAGACAGTGTGTCATGTTTCTTGTTAACTAGCCCCCAGATGCCTCTACACACACACACACACATACACACACACACACACACACGCACAAATGCATGCACACACACACACACACACACACACACACACACACACACACACACACACACACACACACTGAGTTTGGCACAATTGCTCATATCCCTAAATGAGTTCTCAGTTATAAGTCGTCTTTGTTTTATTTATCCCCGTCTGCCATCTGCCAATAGTCTGACAAGTCCTCTCTGACAAGAGTCTCCTTGGTACAAATTATTTATGACGATTTAAAAGACCTATTAAAAAAGAAGAAAGGGAAAGAATTTAAACTTTGGTGGAAGAAGTAAAAAAAAAAAAGATTCAGGATCTTTTCTAAACCTGGCCCACATACTTAAAAAAGCTTTTCCGGCGGAAGAGAATTGTGACAATGAAGATGAAAAGTGGTCAAAGTTCAAACCACTTTGCCTGGAAAGGAAGCGCATAATACTTATTTTCGCATTGTTGTTTAGATGTTTTGGAAGGCAGCCAAATGCTGCCAAAGATTATGATGAACAATTAGGTAATTTTTTACTTAACGAGGAGTTACAGACTGGAGCATGAAAAAGCACACCTTGAGCAATGAAGCCATTGAAAACTAACTAATGAGTCGGAGGGGTTCAACTAGATCAAATGTTTAATTATCCACAGTACTCAACATTAAAATATTGGCTAGCACTGTGGTACTAAGGAGGCTTAATAGGAAACAACAACTTTTTTGCATTCTCTTAGATTGCCAGTTGGGGATGTGAGTTTATAATCATGGCCATTGAGAGATAATGTTTATGAAGACATGATATACCTATTTATAGCATTGTAACTGGGATTGCAAAATAGATTTTTGGTTGAAAAAAAGGGTGAAATTAGATCCCTTCCAGAATTTCTGTTTTGCTTTTAAATGATGTTCATTTGGTCATCAGCATTGAAGGGTGAGGAGAATGATCATTTAAGAGGCTCGGTGAAATCCTGTCTATGCAAAGATGTCATTTCAACACATAAATACAACTCTGTATGGGACGTGTGATGTAAAAAAGAAGGTTTAGAGACATGGTAAAGGGAAATGTTTAAGAAGAACTCATTCAATTCAAGTTGAATTTTTGCTCTTGTGAGATCGGGTCCAATTGTTAATTGCTATTGTTTAAACAAAATATAAGACACATGCTAATAGGCATGACTTTTTATGTAATAATCTACAGAGTGGCATTTAACAAACAATATTTTGCAGCTCCTCTGTCTATAAAGTAATTCAGTGCTGAAAAGTGAGCTGGCAGAGATACCCAGTGGACTGGATTAAGCATTTCCCAGTAGGTATTTCTTTCCCGAGGTAAATGCTTAAAACATTTCTTTTCCTATCAGAAGATCAAATCTACCTTCTCCATATGCTTAAAAACAGAAAACAGTAATCCAGGGACCGGTGGGATAATGTAGTCCCGCTAGACTCCTGCGTGAATCTCGACTGTAATTAAAACCTTCCTGAATGACAGCCAGACAGAGTTTGATTCCATCTGTCTGTGGTGGGTGCAGGGTGTATGTCAGTGTGTTTCTTTGCTGTTTTCGATATACTCCCTTTGTAAACAAGCTTAATTAAGAGAGGATCTTTGAAATGAAGGCTCCGACAACAATTCAAAACAGCAGAGCTCACAGCATTGTCAATTTACAACCTCACACTGTGTTTATTCGAGCTTGTAGGTGTCCCTGTTCATGTGTTGTTTTAGTTTCAAAGAATGCGCAAACACACACCTAGCAGAAATAAATTAATCTTGGTAGATCTCCTATTGAGACGAAACACATTTTGCGAAGTGTTGTGCAACCTCCCATCCGAGTGATTTGGATAAAGAAACAAGGAGTTTTAAAGTACAAAAGAATGCACAGATGGACTTACCGTCGCCCATGTCCTCCAAGATGTTGACTTTGGTGGTTGGGTAGTGCATCCCGAGACGGCCCCCGACAGGCAGCGACAGAGTGACGTTGAAGCTCTCCTCGTCCTCGTACAAAGAGTCGTCGATGACCACCACGCGGCAGTGCTTCTCCCTCTCGCCCTTGTCGAAGCGGAGGATGCTGCCGTGCTCCTCTGGACGGGAGATGTAGTCCGAGTATGAAAGGACGGTGGTGGGAATGGTCCCAGTGGCTGAACCTTTAAAGAGGCCATCAAAGAGTGAGGACAGGACAGAAGGAAAAAAAACAAGATATCCAAACTGGAAAACATTAAAATAAATTCATATTGCATAATTAAAACAAAGTTTCAGGAAAACAAGATGATCAACAACTTTTTAAAAAATTAATAGATCCACTTTATTTCCATTTAATACAGTTCAGACTGTTAATGAAGCCATTATGGTTGCTAAAGTTTGACCTTTAATTACAAAAAGCCCATCACGTGAGTCAGTGACTTATTTTTAATGCCAGAACACTATGGGATCAGACCACCCACACAGGTTTACTCACAATCAAACCTGCGGTGGAGCAACTACAGACTTCTGACATTTAACAATGTTGCCCTCATTAGGCTAATAAATGCAGGAATTTTGCCTTCATGTTTTGTTTAAATGTATTCCATGACATTTAACTGCATGAGGAGAAAACACATGCGGAAATTTGTATCTATACTGAAGCCAATTGAAATGATCGCAAAGAGAGGGAAGCTGATGTGAAAGTTTGTTAATGATTTGAGTAAACTACTGTAAAAAAAAAAAAAAAAAACTTGGAAAAGGCACAGGCTAAATGCTAATGCTTTGTGACTGCTGCTACTTTTGAAAATGCTAATTTGGTGTGAACTGTATTTCTCCCAGTGCCGTCCTCAGCTGCATATCCAACAGATTTTCTAAAAAAAAAGACGCAACAGGTGTACCAGACGATGGTATGGATACATTTAAATCAATATAGATGCCAGATTTAAAGGTTCAAAATTTGAACACAGTTTCAGTTCGCAATTGGTAGCCAAAATGAAATTAATAATTACTTATAGGATTAAAAAAATATATATACCTCAAACATTCATTGAAAAAAGTATATATATTTATTTATTATTTCTATATTAATAAAGCTCCTGTGAAAAGCTTTTGTCATGTGTTGATTTTGGCACCCCCTGTGGACAATGCAGGATAATTTATCTATTTGCTGATACTGTGCATGTGTAAGTCATTTTTTCCCCAAAAAATATGCATCCTTATTTATTTGAAATGTTTAACATGCATTTCATGAAGAATCTTTAGCATGGATTTTTTTTTAAGGCTGTCTTCAGAAGCATGCTTTAAATTGCCTCGTCTGACACCTACCCCCGGCAGGAGTGAAAGGTGCATTGTACAGCTTCATGAACAGTCTCACAAAAAAGTACCATCGCTCTAACGGTCTAGTATGCTCTTGTAGGTGATAAAGAGACATCAGTATTCATTTCAGTCTGTTTCATGACCTGCTAAAAAACTCCTCACATGAGCTTTAAACAATGACATACAGCGTATGTTATGGGCAGCCTATACTCGTCAATGTGGTGGACAGGAGGCTAAGCGGGTGAGATGAGGTGAAAAAAGGCTAGTTCATACCCTGCTGTGTGAAGCAGACCACCATGAGCTCCTGGCTGATGTCTCCGCTGCGGTGCACCGGGATGAAAAGCTCCCCAACATCCTCCTCCACTGAGTGCATCTGCTCTGGGAAGAACACAGTCGACTCTGTGTGTGCAGGAGAAAAGAGAACGAGCGGTGGGAGTCAGGAAAAGGAAGAGGGTAATGATATGTATAACAATCTGCAAAAATCCACAGTACATTAGGCCGTCAAGGACACAGGCTTTTCTTCTGCCTCTGCTTCACAGACTTTTTTTTTTTTTCAAATTCTGATCTACTGGAGTGGTGTTCCTGTGGTGTGTTTATTCATATTCAAAAATAACTCTCCATCGCAGTTTTTCGGGGGGTTTAATGCAACCAGAGGTGCTCTTCAAAGAGACCCCCTCTGGAACTTTCTCTCACTGCCTGGTGTGTCGCACACAATTACACATGGAAGCTCTTCGGTTCATCCCGCTGAGTGAATCAGCTGGGAGTTTCATACACCGACTCCGCTATGCACAGAGGGGTCAGCCAAACCGCCTCTCCTATTTTTTTTAATCCTCTCTCTACACTCTTCTCTTTGTCTCTGAGAGGAGTTTATGATTGAGAGAGAGACTGAGAGCCGGTGAAAGCATCATCTATCATGGACAAGAACTTACAGGCCTAACAGAAACAATAAATGTTGGAGCTATTTTCCACAGACGCACAGGGACCAATAAAAAGATAAACAGAGTGGGCTGAGCTTATTCTCAGCCCATAATTTTGCCACTTTTCCCAAGTCTGTTTTTCAATGAAGGCATGAATGATAGGAACTTCAGGACACTTGTGGCCTGCTTGTGCAACAAAAAAACGTTCTTTAAATGGAGAGCGATAGAGCTGAAATATCAGAAAAGAAATAGATCTTGTGTTGACACCCAGAATAAAAAGACATCAACACCTGAGATGGCTCTTTGAGCCCAGAGTCATCAACATAAAACAATCTTACACACCACATGGGGTCAAACATTTCTCTCCTCTTACGGTAACTCTCTCTAAATCGTTCAAGCTTCTCTCAATCTTCTTCCCTCGCTTCCATTCCTCTTTTCTGTCACTGCCCACAATCTGCCACTCCCCAGGGGGGTACAGGGACTCATTGCAAAGGATTAGGGTCTACTGCTTACCTATTGCACACACACACACACACACACACACACACACACACACACACACACACACACACACACACACACACACACACACACACACACACACACACACACACACACACACCCTGGTTTCATTCTCGCACATCTTTCATTCTCGCACATCTACACCTCTCCTTACGGTTCTTTTCACGTTTCACCTCACACTTTTCTCTTCAAGTGCACCCAGGATTTAGAAAAGCAACATTTTCAGCCAAGTGGGTCAAGTTCACCTCCTGGAGGAAAACACACAGAGTCATCTTAAAACATTCATGTGGAGAAAAAAAAGCCCACAAGCTTTACGGAGGGTGTTATAAAGTGAATACTTGCACCTGATCCGGCTTTTGTCCTGCAAACAGATAAAACCAAAATATAGTTCATGAATATTCTATGTGTTGCTTTTCTCCAGCTTTCCTCTTGTTTGCAAAGTTACCAGCTTGTGAAACTGATTTTTGCAGCAACCTCGTAGCCTGTTTGATATTATAGTCTTACTGAGACAAAGCTCTTAGAGTAACACAAGGATGTACATGACAGCATGTTGCCATGAGATACTTCAGCATTTGCTGCAGCACTGATGTGTAGCATCCTCGCTGCAGAGGAAGAAAGAAAGCTATCGCTGAAAGTAACAAAAGGCTGCAACTGCTAGAAGCAAACATTTGAACGGTGGGCTGCCGTCTTCATCTTAAGCCAGAACTGTACATAGATTATATTTGAAAAAGTCAAAGTTTTGCAGGAGAAAAGCAAAGCTATCACTCTCTGTAATTAAACAGTTTGTTTGCTGAGCTCTAACAGCGGGAGAACGACGGGCGATACATGCCACAGGACAAGCCCACTGCTTGTTGTTAATCAAAGTAGCAACATGCTAACACAGAAGGGTGTTATAGTGCAGCTTTCCAACTAAAACCAACAAAAACATAACTAAAGACAAGCTTCAGGCACTCGCACAGACAAACAGACTTTGTAAGCCGTTAGAACGAACTCTGCATATCGTGCGCGCCTTAATTTGGCTTTTGGTTAAAGCTTAGCAATCCCCTCTCCTCCCTTAAAGCTTTTAGCCTAGCTGACACGTCGTCATGGGAAGGGAATCTCCAGGCTGAAGCAGAAGACCAGACACAGCCAGTTTTCATCATTAGAGACAGAAGCTAGAGTATGGCTAATGCAACAGGCATAGCTGCAGCTTCACTGGCCCATTAAAGCTCAGAGTGGCACATCTCTGTCACGTTAGACAATCCCCCTGAGATGACAGAAAACAAAACAGCCCCTGTCCTCCTCACACACACCATAATTAACCCACAGGGGAGGATAGATTGAGCTGGAGGGATGTGAGAGAGGGATCACAACATAGAGGACTGAACGAGGAGACGAATGATGAGAGAGGGAGCGATGAGAGTGGCTGCTGTGCGTCACTGTAATGGAAGCTTCAGTGTTTCCATCTTTGTTGCACGGCTATAATTATTTCAAAGTTCTACAGAGGATGGGGATAATGCATACAGAAAAAAAAAAGTATGGATTAAAAAACTGCGGAAAAGTAAATCAAGCCGTGATGGAGGAGACGGACGGCTTGTGGCACTACTCAATAATCCATTAACGTTTCAATTTGCACGCAACAACATACAGAATGTGGCGAGTGAAAATGGCAGAGAGAAGCTATTTAAAGGGAAAGCCTGAAAGACTCGTGCTTGAGTGAAAGACACTTTCTGTACTTAACGATGAGGGTTTCGACAAGTGATCAACACTTTACAGCAATATCAATAGTGTAGAAGAAGATTGAATGAGGCCTGAGGGCTAAATTTGACCCCTTGACAGCACTGACATTGGACGTATAATGGACAATTAACTCCTAAATTTCTTCTTTTTTGTTTAATTGGTGTCAGGAGGGTAAGCACTTCTGAGTACTTCAGGTAAGTGTGTAAACACAACACAGACTTCCTCAAATGTCTCTTAGCTGTCAAGTCAAGTCAAATCCGTATCCCTACTCCTTTCCTGAGGACATATTATACATGACTGTGGATCAACAGTCGGCATCGTTATTGACAATTCCTCATTCTGTGTGTTCCAAGTTGACTGATACTTCACACAAAAAATGTGATTTGCAGCAAGGTGAGTGTTTTTCCTGTGCTTTGTAACAGGAATACTTGAGTGGCAGGTGGGATTTTGTACGGTGAGCATTATAAACTTCACTGTAGCTGTTGACATATTTGTGTATTGAGCTGGGAAAAGTAAACACCTCTGCTTTGGGTACAAAAAGTGTCACTGCATTTTGCATGCTGGGCCTGCTGCTTATTTCCTGTACTGTTCTGAGTGTTCAATCGTCTCATGCAAGTTCATACATATTTTTCTGCTGTCATTGTCTGAGGCTGTCAAGTGAGATATCAGCTGTTCTTATCAGCTTGTCAAATTTATCCAGAAACATTTTGACACACCCAACATGAAGGGAGACGCCGTGTAGCTTAGAGAAAAGATATATGAACAAAATCCTCCCAACTTTCTGACGAGACTTAATTACCACATAATCTGTTAGAGTAAATAGTTATCTTTATCTTATCCATGTGTCTTCCCTTTTTTCTGGATTATTTTCTGGGCTTTTTCTTTAATTTGACAGGACAGATATACAGTAGAGAGACAGACTGAGGAATGGCAAGGATCAGGATCAGGATGCTGGAACCAGTGAAACTATAGGACCTACGCACATGGGTCACCCACTCCATCAAACCCAAACAGATATTTAACCAACTTGTATTTTCAATCCTGTGTATAGTCTATCCAGCGAGACTGTTTTTGATGTTTCATTTTTAATGATAGATTTAAACTGGGATAAAAGCACTAAGCTGAGTAAAGACCTTTATAAAGAGAGAAGGAAATTGTCCCTGGATAATCTAATTCTTACTCATCTTAGCTGGTACACAGTCTCAAATCAAGTTGAATTTCCTGAACCCTTTTAAGAAAACTTTGGGCATCAAATGTTCGACACAAGTCCTGCCTAACTCATATCTCCTGTCACGCTGAATGTGACTACCTGGCTGCGGTGGAGCTTTATTTATAATATCGCATTTTTAAATTATATTTCTTGAAAAAAGTTATGTACTGTATTTACAAAGCTATCAGCCAGTTGTGTACACATATCTGTCCAATAAAGCTGATTCTAGCTAATGACTTAAGCTTAAATAAATTGTTATAAGTTCAAATTCCCTCCAAAATGGAGTAGATGTTTTTAGTAGCGAATGGAAAAACTCAGGTAAGTGCCTTAGAGGTACAGGTAAGTATAGATGTTCTCAGACTAAAGACTAAAAAAGACTATTTGGTGGTTAAACCCTCAGAGGATCTGAGTGTGCTCAGCAGCATTACATTGCTCATTGCATTGCTTCACTGTACTGACCGTCATTAGGATCCAGGATCTCAACTGTTGCCGCGACAGGAAACTCCATTACACCCATCACCGGCTCTGACAGCAAAATCTGGAAGGTCTCAGCCTGCTCATATTTCCCATCAGTCAGGATCCGAACCCGCCACATGGCTGTGGTCTGCCCCGGGTTGAATTGGACCTGCCTCTGGGACTTGCCCTTGAAATCCTCATCCTTTTTTGCACTGCCATCCTGGGTGCCAATTCCTGGAAGGTACAGGTAAAAGTCAGACGTTAAAAAAAAAAAAAAGAAGAAGAAGAAGAAAAAAAAGCAGGCTAGACAGGCAGTAATACAAAACAAAGGAAGCGGCCATGAAAGGGTGACAGACAGGAGGGAGAAGCAGATGAAAAACAGATTAGATATTCACACCCTTTAATGTTCCTCAGACGATGGTGAGAAAAGAAAGCGTCCTCTATTTTTCTTCACTGATCACTTGCAGAGCCTCAGGAATGTGTGAAATGAAATTGTAAGTGAGGCATTTAAATAAGCAGATTCCACCTTACCGAGACGGATTAGCTACCATGATTATTTCCCAAAGATTGAGTATGCATGCGAGTGTCACCTCCTTTTCTCTTCACATGTCTCTTTATAAAAGCTCTTTCATGTAAATCTTCTTCACAAAGAGCCATCGAACATTCATGCTTGTCGATATACTTTCTTTAAAGAGCGTACTGGCACCACTGGGTTTACACATCAAACCAACAAGGAAATCCAGGTGGTATAAGCCATACAAAGATGCATTACACTTGGTTAAAAAAAAAAATAAAAAAAAAAAGGCTTTTTATTTCCTTTTGTCTGCGTTCACAGTTCCTCGTGGGAACAAGTTGAGCAGAGTCAGGCTGATGATGCATGTGCCTGCAAATACAAAGGATTTCATCCTATTTTCCAGGCACATACAGTGCGAAAAGGTGGTGACAAACTCATGCAGATGAGACTGGATGTATTAGATCACACACACAGTGTACAATCTTAGTGCTAGGTATATTGTATGCAAAAAGTTTTAGAGATGACACTTATTCATTTTGCTGTACCTGTGAGGACTTTTGGTGATCATTGAATCCACCAATATAAACACGAGCTGTATGTAAATGGCAGCCTTAAGACTGTGATGATTAATTGTATTTGATGTGAAATGAAACATTTCTTTCTTTCTTTGGCTTATGAGTAACTGGCTGAATCTAAGAAAAAAAAAAGATTATATGGGTTTTGGGTTTGACCCTGGCAACTTATTAATTAAAACATTAGTCCAGCAAATGATTCAGTCTAGAATCCCTGTTTTGGAACATTTCTAGATAAAGGCACAGAAAACTGAACGTGTGGACCCATGTTACTATGTGAACCCTAATTAAAAAAGTAACAAGCTCATATTTGATCTTACCTGCAACACATTTAATACGACACATTCACTCATTTCATTTTTGTCGGCAACCTCGCAACTGTGATGTCTCAACTTTCTTCTTCTTTCCTCGAACAGTAAAATGAAACGATGCTATTTCTCACTGCGGCTGCACTAATACAACTCATAAAATATCCATCTCTCAAGGGGCTGCTGAAGGTCTTTCTGGGAAATCTACGACATGACTAATGGAAGTTCATCCCGGACAACTCTTGGTTCATTTGCTGAGTGGTCCTGTCAGCTTAACCTGGGTCAAGTGTTCTTATTGAGGATTATACAATGCGGCGTGGCAGAAGTGGGTACAAAAAGTTGTGAATTAACAGCACTTCAACGCAGGTAGGAGTGAAAGTAACGGTGGGAATTTGATGCCCCAAATCTAGTTCTTACTCACATCATTCATTGAATGGAGAGAAAAATAAATTGGTCATTAAGCTTCATGGCAATCTGCCATTATATTTCAGTTTGACTTGTAGCATTATTAAATACAACAAGACTGTGGTGCTATAGGGGATCAGCTGGGCCTTCAAACAAACAAAACAGTCAAATATCATGACTATCTCCAACAGATGTCAATGCTATTCTTGAAAAAAATTGGGGGGGGGGGGGGGGGGCAAACCTTAGGCCGAGAGTATTCAAAAAAAAATTCCCTCCCTGAAGGGATAAGATTTGGATACATATTCAATATTCTCTATACATAATGTGTGTGTGTGTGTGTGTGTGTGTGTGTGTGTGTGTGTATATATATATATATACATATATATTATTTCATGTAAAAAAAGCTATCGATAAAATGATGGTTCCCAGAAAACTGTCTTCCTGGTGAATGCACGTGTTTGGTCCTCTGCAAAGCAAGTGATCCACACATTGAGCATGTGCTTGGAACATTATTTCCAGTGAATCCCTTCTTCATGGATTTCAAAGAAAGACAGCCACCAACAGTGTTGACCTCTATAAAGACTATCAGAATTAAATTGGTTGAAAAAAAAAACAAGGTGACATAATAAAGAAGTCGAGAAAAGTACATGGTTTCTATCGATCCTATCTTCTCATCTTTCTATCCTGATGATCAGTCGTTCCACATCAAACAAACACACACACACAGATGTCTTCAACAGAGAGGGAGGGTTGATCTTAAAAGGGTGGAGCCTCTTTGCTGGACTCCCTGGGGGGAAGGAGGCACGCCTCGCCTAGGGTCAGACCGGGGTTCCTTCCCAGAGGGTAGAGATGCACCAACCCGAGGACTTTTTCATCTCTGTTCCTCAGAGCTACAGACCCTTGTGTTTATGTTTCTGTATCACACACACATACACAGTCACATACACAACTGCTCACAAAGACCCAATGTCTATTCATAGATGCAAACTTTTCTTTCTTTTGTTTTGTATTGTAGTTTATCTCTCACTCTGAAACAAATGCTGCAATATGCTACATTCTGCTGAATGCAAAAAATACTATTCATTGTAAACTTTATGATTGCAGCTATTTTTATGCTTATTATAAAAAAGGTAATTTCACACCAAGGTAGCTGAAGTGGAAATCTGCAAAAAAAAGGGTTCAGGGGGGGTAACAGTTTCAATCCTCTCTAGGTGAAATTACATTATCTCTCCATCCACCCTGCTTGGACACAATAATGAGGCTGAGAAAGATCCCACAGGAGATGATTAACCTGGCCTATGCAAACTTTGTTAACTATCTTCAATTTATCTCTCAGACCAAGGACGGACCAGCAAAAGGACAGTGCCGAGGGGGATGAGACTCTTCAAGGAATGAGCTACAAATTATGCAAGCAGTAGAAAAAAAGAAGAAGAATGAGAATTCAATTCCATTTTGTTTCCCCATGGGGTTTGTCATATTAAAGCAAAGAAGATAGAGAAAGAGAGAAGGGAGGGAAATGAGGAGAAATGTGTGGAGAAGGAGGACTTGAGAGAGGAAGTTGAAAAATAGAAGACAATAGCGAGAACAAATAGGGAACAGGAGCGTCGATGGAGCAAGGGAGAGAGGAGAGAAGAAGGTAGATGGAAGACAGATAATAAATTGAGAGTGGGTGGAGGAACAATATAAGACACAGCCGATGGCACACAACCAGGATTATAAGTCAGTAAGAGGGCATGAAGAAAAGTGGATGGGGTTTTTTTGATTCAAAAATACGGTGGCCTAGAGCGGCATATGAGCTGCAACAGCTTAAAAGACTTGCAAATACAGAAACAATACGTATCCAACAGCAAATACAACAACAAAATCGTGTTACAAATGTCAAAGTGTGCTGAAAAAAAAGATGCATCAACAGCAAACATGTAAATGATGCAAAGTCCAAACATACAGTACAAACCTAGAAAACCCACATGCAACACAAAAAGCTGCACATCAAGTCATCACAACTGAAGTACGGCAAGCCTGTAGAGGCTGATGAATGGAAGTTGGGCTTTGTTAAATGTATTTGATGAGGAAAGTAAATTATAAAGGAGATCACACAACTTAGTCAGGATTGGACCCCAGAAATACTCAGATTTAGAGACACCTATCGCAGTCTAATCATCAACAGTTTCAGTTCTCTAGAAATAAAGATATGATTACTGGATATACAATTTTCTTGGTTGCATTTGTTTCTTTGGTTTGGGTGTTTTTTAACTTTACTTTATTTATGTATTTGCAGCATATTTTATGTACACAGTTTGTGATTTTTCAGCCCATTCCTACCAATAGGCTATTGAAGGGCAACGCTCATTGTTGTCCATCTTGGATAAGCAGGCTAGAAGCAAACAATCTCCAAGTTGAAGTGGCATGCAGAGATTACGGATGAAACAGAAAAGGTGACACAGGTTAAGCGAGCTGTATCACACGTACAAGACTGACAAAGTTACTTGATTAAAAGAAGACACAGCTGGAGAAGGAAGGGCACACACCCATGAAGAAATAAGCCGAGGGCTGATATTGTGTGGTAAGAAACTGAGGAGTAATTCTGTAGATCAGTGGCAGAGCATCCGATCTGATCCCCCCGTGCTCTCCGGCCCCATTCAGCCGAAGCTCTGCTCTGCGGGGGCGTCTTTGAACCTTGATCTTATCTCTGTGTGCCTCCTTCACTGATCCTCTCTACCTGTACTTCCTGTTGTGATGGACATGTATAACAACTCTCCTCCAGCATGGCCTCACACTGCAGCAGCTTTCATTAGCTAACCTTTGCAAAGGCTGCAAACTTCTGAAAACACCTCCGGGTGTCTTTCCCACTGCTTGTCCATCGTCACACACTCTGTCAAATCAAATTTAAACCTTCAATCTATCTTCCTGCACAAATAGACTCTACTTCCACCACAAATGCATCCTGTATGTGTTACATGTGTTCTTTCAACCTAACTATCTTTTGTTCAATATTTAGTGTTTTTTTCTGCCACTAATAATCTTTTTCTAACAGCCTTTTAAATGTATTGTTGTATTGATCCTTGTTCATACCTCTACATTACCTCACTTAGGACACCTCACACACTTTTTTGCACCTAATGTTGGAAAGCATTAGTAAAACAATGCTGTTAATTGTTTTTAGTTCATTTTCACCATTCTGCATGAAAAAATGACTCTAAAATCGGGCAACTTACAAGATTTGAGTAATTTACTGGTGAAGGCCTGACAGACAAAAAACCTTCAAAACATGCGGAAAGAGAAAATAGCTGCCATGATTCAGGTAAAATATCAAACCATCACTTAAGTTAATATTTATGATATATCTGATTATTTTGTGAATATGTAAGATTGTTCAACAATTTTGAATCATGAACTTCCTGACTGCTGTAACTGTTTTTTTTTTTATTTTTTACAAAGGTAACACATGAAAGGGTTTGCATTATGACAATCGGATTTTAACATTTAAGATCCCTTTGCATAGCCAGGTGGTGATCTCTTCAGTATAAGTATAACTTAAAGTGACTCAAACTAAATCCTTGAAACGACCTCAGTTTACACTAAACATCAATCAACAACACAGTTATTGTTGTGGCAGTATTGTATTTCATTGCATTGGACATTGTGTGGTGTTGCAGTATTTTTGTCCACCTTGAGTATGTCGCTGCACTTATTATTGGTTCACTCGCTTCATTCTTCTGTGCACCCGCCCAGCAAATTGAAATCTATGAAAGTTATTAGACTTTGATCAGTTTCTGTTTTCCATTCCGTGTTGCTCTAAACTAGACCATATTTCATCATCAATGCCTGAACAGATCGACACTTGGCTTATAGGCACAAATGCACAGAAATACGTGCTTGGAAGTTATCTGCACATACAGATATGCCAAAATACTGCCGTTTAAATCACACATTTTTGGTGCCTTTGGTGCAAGAGACGTGTAAGTATTCCTCCTCTGTGATCTTGTTTCAATGCTGCACTCATACATTGAAACGCCTCATCCTAACATGTTGTACCTATGTCAAAACTAGATGTAAAGCACCGTCACATGGATACATTTAAATGCAACATCAACATGCCGCGTTAGACATTCATTGAAAAAGAGAACTTGAAAGTGGCGGCGTGTGTATGTGTCATGTTTGTGGTCAGAGATAATCAGATGCTCACACACCAACTCTGCAAAGAGATGAGAGTCAGAACGCAAGCTTTCATGTGTGCCCGAGAGATACACTCAAAAGCTTCCAGAGAGGTACACACACAGCCACACACACAGGTAGATAAGTCTTAAAGCTTTCAAAAAACTGCTTCACTGTGATGACAACACCTGACCCAGCGATTAACAAGGATCAGAATAATGATGAGAGGTGGAAGAGAGTAAAAGCTGCTTACGGCTGCTGCCTGTCCCACAGCGAACGAGCTCAAGCGTGACAAAGTCAAGGCTAAGAGCAGCATTCAGGGACAGCACCATCATCCTTTTAACCTTAAAATATGCACAAACACTCAGACATAAGCACAAAACATGCTGGGCTGTTGTGCGTGCAACACAAAATCTCCTACATCTGCTGCTCAAAGAGCTATTAAAAACTGTGGCAATAACATTTGAGGCCGGACGTGAGATTGGAGCAGCACAGAGCAAGCTAAGCATCCTCTTCCTACTCTGTGCTTTTACAGTGATGAGAAGTGTAGCAACCACAAATTTTTCTTCTTTTTTTTTGGTTTTTGTGGATGACTTAGTTGTTCTAGTTTTCTAGACACAACAATATACTGTAATGCTGTGATACTGTAATTCCAAAATATTTGAAAGCTGGGACCGGCCATTCATGAGTGTTGAAGAAACCTAAGGCCTACAATTGACGTCTTGATGTCATCTCTTTCCACCAGACCTTCTTGTACAGTACAATAAAGAGCCCCTGCACATTCACCCCATGGGGCCCCATGACACCACTTGACTATGGTTGAATGATGCATCGACTTATGTTGCTTTCACTCTAAAGTTTAAACTATGCTTGACATTACAGACACATGAAGACTACAACCAACCATCAGTATGAAATAAATGTAAATTTCCCCATTGTGGGATAAATAAAGGATTATCTTATCTTATCTTATCTTAGAACTCGATTGTCTACTCGTATTACCCTGGAAGAGACAAACTATGCAAACTGACAGGTAACAGTGGGCGTCAAAGCACAAGGCAACACAGTACCAAACTGATTGGCAAACTGTCACCCTATTTGTTCCACAGCCTCCAAATCAATCATATATAAAGTGGTAAAGATAATGGATGGATGGAAGTTTACAGGTACACTTATGATTACGTTTATTTGATCAATTTCTTTCCAAACTCAGTTGCTTCAACAGTAATCATGCTCTGTGGTTTGTTTGTAGATGTGTTTGTTTAATCTGATCGTTGCAAATCACTTTAACTGCTTTTCTTTGTTTACTTTTATGCCTACTTCCTGTCCTCACTGTGATAAATAAAGATGAACTGTGAACATCAAGGGCATGCTGATTCACAAGTACTCGTGTTCCAAGTCCTTAGACATTTTCTTTCTGCTTGTAAATAGACGGTTAAATCGCTGCACAAGACTCTTCACTGACCTTCCAGCCATCTCATCTACCCTTCGCAAACTCAAAAAAAGAATGGACAGAAAACTGGTGATTCTTAAAATGGCTCAAGGCCAAACAAATTACTCTGGCTTTGAGAATAAAATTGGGTAAAGAGTGTGCTGAAAGAAAATGTTGCAACTGGCTTTTTAGATTGACTTTCAGAGACATTGTTTGGTTGGCATATGAGAAACAGTAAGCATCACTCAGGGTAGATGGGAGCTGAGTTTGTTTGTATGTACTGTTGACCTAGGACAGTTAAAATGGATTGGTTTGTACACTATTTTCCTATCATCAGTGAGTTTATCAGAGATTTTATTCAAAAAAGGGAAGTTAGGGATGCAGGTTTGGATCCTGGCCTCTGCCCATTGGTGAATGTTAAGCCCTCAATCTTCTCCTCACATATCTTGTCTCTCTTTAGGACTCTGTTGCTTGGTCAGCATCTTCCGCGTTGTTCTTTTTGCATCATGTCTTGTGTAGGGAGACATCCCGCCCACCCTCCCGTCTGACAGGGATAGTCTCCCACTGCAAGGTGCATTATGTGAACAGCCAGGTCAGGAGAATTTCAGCAGCAGTCCTCCTGAAATGATCTAGATATTTTCAGGAGAGCGTATGTGAAAACAGCTTTAGAGGCTGCAGTCATGCTAACAGCTAACAACAGTGCTTTTAGCTTAATGCTAGTGTGTGCATGCTAATATGCTTGAAATGAAAATGTTTGCATGTTAAAATGTTTAGTAGCCTATATTATTTGATAATTAGATGCTTCACAGGTATAGTTTTCACCATGTAAATAATGTTCCTTTAACATTTGCCATGTATCCCAAAACAATGTGCAAAGCTAAGACTAATTGTCATCAGTTTTTTATGTATCTGGTACAATAACTTAATATGGGACTAATAAAATTTTGACATTTAAAAGGGTTAGAGGAAAAGGCAGGACAGTTTCGAGCCAATCTATCATTATTTATTGTTGTATGAAGGATTAGAAAAAGTGTTGCTCAAAACCAAGAAATGTGAACCTCATGGCGACCTCAGAGAAGAAGTCACTGGATGATAGGATTCATCTTTGGGAACCGTCCATTTCTGTGCAACGCTTTGGTAAGGCTTCCGACAGATGCCTTCTATTGTGGCTGAAAACACAAAGCAGGTCTTCTGTGTTCAGAGAGACAAAACGACAAACAGACTCACCTATGAAGGATGTCTCTCCCAGGTAGCCTCTCCGCTTCAGCACCACCTCCAGGAACTTGTCCTCCTCGTCCACAACGTAGTACTCCTTCTCCAGAGAGATCCAGGCCCAGTCCAGACGGAACTGCTGTCCCTTCAGCTTGTTTCCACCTGGAAAAAAACAAAACACATTAACACATGTTTTTTTTTATATTCCTAAAGTAAACCCTCTTAGTAAACAGTTAACCTGAACTCGACGTGCTGCTGCTGAAATAGCATCATGGGTTCAGGTCTCCTTTACCGCATGTCATTCCCCATTTTCTCTCTCCTCGATTTCCTGCTCTATACACTGTCCTCTCAAATAAATATTAAGACAAAAGAATAAACCAAAAGATACATTTCTTATACATTTAAAGTTATGTTTGGGCCTCTTTTGCCTTTATTAGACTGGACAGCTGAAGAGAGAAGAGAGACATGTCAAGAGGAGAGAGTGGGGGATCTTGCAGCAAAGTACCAAGGTTGGATTTGAACCCATAGCCACTGCGACGAGGAGTATTGGGCGGGCGGCAAAAACGCTAGGCTATGCAGCGCCACCAAAAGATAGACTTCCATACCTAATCTGTCATGTACTGCTTTTCAAATTCAAATATCATTTCATCTCCTTTGTGCAAAAATAACGTATACTCACAATTGAGTGGCAGCCTATCAGCGTCATTAAAGAAAGGCTTTTGATCTTGTCAGCGCTGGTCTAACAGAAGTACTTAATTAACGCCCCTTGAACAAGCTGCAGAGAGGATGCTGCTTTGTGTGGCTGATTTACCCACCTTCACTGCAAGACAATTGTGATAATGAAAGGAAATAATGTGAGAGCATTGTAAAAATTAACATAAAAGAAGGAGGGGGGGGGGGGGTTCTTTCTCTGTGTTACTGTGTATGAATAATGCACATCTGAATGTGTGAGTGTTTGTGTTTTTATAGCAGAAGGAATTGCAGAGCTACATATGCAAACATTATGTGTTGGCTGTCAGACAGTCTCGAATGCCACACGAAGTAATAGCAACATATGCAGAAATATTTTCTTAAACCACCTTGTGCAAAAAAGACGGTGCTCATCTTGCACTTTAGTGCTCAAAATACAAATGAAATAAGAGTATAATTCCTTTCCCGATCAATATAATAATCATAAATAGTGTCATAAAAAGTGCAGAGAGATGTTACCTTCCACTTTCACAGCTTAGTACCTATAAAGGTTCAGCTGTGATCTCAAGCAGTGGTATACTGTCATGGTGTTAAAGCGCAGCAGAGGTGAAAAGTTCAGCACTTTCTGGTTTGGCAGACTGAGCTACAACATGCCGAGGTGAGGAGACAGCTAATATAATCAGAGCTCATGTATCCTCCAAAAAGCCTGCAGGCCAAGTTCGGGCTCCACTTATCTGGTGTAAATACAGAATTACACACATACACCAACGCAAACACACACACATTTTCAATGCCAACTTCACTGCAACCTTGGCTTTTATACCCCTGATAGCAAATACAGCATAATCTGCCTGAAATCTTAGTGTGTGTGTGTTTGTTTGTGTGTGTACCGGTCCTTCTGTGTGACCTCGGTGAGGAGCTGTGCACAGACAATAGAGTTTGGAGTCAGTAGGCTTCTGACTGTCTCGTTCCTCCAGCCTTTGAGAAGGATAAAAGACCTCTCACATGTGCTGACCAGACCAAAAAAAGCAGCTTTGAAATCATCCTCAATAGAGCTAAATTCACTTTACACCCACTTTCAAAGGCTTTCGCAACAAAAACTCACCACAAGGGTTTTTCTGAACCAATTAGGGATCAGAGTTTCGCTCTTGAAATTTTCAGGGATCAGGACACTCTGAGAAATCTGGCGAGAGAAACTTTGATGCCACAGTTTTGATGCTAGCTTGTGATGTAGGACGGACTTTGTGGAAAAATCACCAACAGCTGTCGGAAGGGTTTCTCTTATCATCCCGAAGGGTAAAAATCAAAAGACTTGTAACTTTTATGCTTACCAAGAATGTTTCTGTTGTTGGTCTGCATGATGCTCTTTATCAGCGTATAATATTGATTAAAATGTGTTTTAATTGTAACACTTAAGCTTAGTTTGAGCATGTTGTTTTGTTTTAAAGGCACTTGATTACAGTACGACTCAATCTTAAAGCTATACCTTACTTTCAGTTGAAGCACTAGGCTTTCATTGATAGGACAGCTAAAGAGAGACAAGATATGTGTGGAGAAGATTCAGGGCTTAACATTCACCTATGGGCAGAGGACAGGATCCAAACCTGTGGCCGAGGACTGTGGCCTCATAAGAGGAACCTGCTCCGCTGACTGAGCCAAACTAGCATCCCTAACTTCCTTTTTTGAACAAAATCTCGTATAAACTCACCGATGATAAGCAAATAGTGTACAAACCAATCTATTGTAACTGATTGCATTTCTGAATACAAAATCTGTTGTAAGATATTTTCATACATAGCTAGAAATAGGACCAGGAGGCATGTAGCAGCTGTTTACTAATCTCTATAAACACGCATCTGCATTTAAAACTTTCAGTAGCATGTGTATGCAAATGTCTTACTGCTGAACACTGATAATTAATTGACTGATGTTAATTCAGATTTTTCTTTAGTCTGTTGTTTGTTCTTTATGTAAAACTTTTTGCCCTTCTCAAGTTGCTCGTCAGACTGCAAACCAAAAACTCTCTGAAAAGGAAGTCTTGGCCAGAACCTATTTATTCTGACTGCATCAGAATCCATCACTTCCTGAGGCTGTATCATCATCAGAAAATAACCAGTGGGTCTCGAGATTGTGTACCTACTAGCTGGTGAACAAATAAGAACATGTATGATAAACATCCAAATGTATTTCTAATCAGAGCTACAAGCAAAGTCAATATTGGATTGTTCCTCTATGGAGGCCAGAAACATGACTCTATAAAGACATTTGTTTTTCAGGTGCGTGCCTTCTGAATAATTTCCAGGTAGTTGTTTGCCAAACATTCATGATGGCATTGAACTAGAAAATAATATCCTCAATTTATTTGGCCAAAAATTTCTCAAGTTCCTGTCGAGTAGCCTTGAAAGAAGTGTTTTGGTGTGCAACAAAAATGTAGTGCAGTCCTTAATTTAGTAACAAACAAATAAACAAAGAACCATTTGCTAATCAAGTACAAATCTTTGAAGAAAAAAGACCAATTCTCACTCCATAGTGCCAGCTCTCTCTTACCTCTCAAACCTTCTTTTTCTTAAGATACATAGATCTTCAACCTCTAACCGAAGGCTTTCATGAAGGTACAATCACTCATTCAAAAGTGCTATGGACCTTCATATACTCCTGAGTACCCGCTCTGCTGCTGCGTACGCTGCCAGGCAACAGCAGAGATTCTCACACTTTGGGCTTAGGGAGAGGATTGAGTCTTTCAAGTCATAAAAACCTGAGGCAATGTGAAGTCTAGAGGCATTAGTTTTAAAGTAAGAGAGGAGGTTTAAGTTATTTCAGATATTGTAAAGCAAGATCTACTGTCATATTCGAGATCTGATTTTGATCGTGAGGAAAAAATAAGCATTGTATTGGCTCATATGATCCAGTTCTGGAAATTAACATGATTTTGACTTGAGTTCAAATCCTTTGCATGGAGCTCAGCGTAAGTTCAAGCAGGAGGACTGTTTTTATTCTCTCACGCATTCATTCTTCTTTCTTTCAACTCAGCCTCTACCTCTATTCCTCCGCCTCCCTGCTCTGGTGATCAGCTGATTATGGGTGTTTACCGATTTAAGTAATGAACCAACCACAACCTCTCTTAAGCAATCATCCTGCTGCTGTCAAATGTTAAAATCGTCTCTCTGTTCCGCAGTCAGTTGCGACCCTCCTCCGCCTCTGTCAACTCCATTTCAGCTCAGCAGAGTTCAGATACAGCCTCAGAAACCCACTCCTCATCACATCCTGCATTCATCTATCACCCACCACCACCATAGACTCCATCAGGGGGGTTTATCCTATCCTGCTGTCTGCCACACTGAGTACATGAAGTCATCATGATGGAGTGTTATCGCGAAAGACATTGCATACTTTGTCTTTTCTTAAACTGTTAAAGAAATAATTGTTCAGTCTTAATTAAGTCTCTCCTGATTGAAATTGAGTCTTCACAACTTCTGCTTTTTGGATCAGCTTGGGATCAAAATGAAACAAAAAAATCAAAAATTACAAAAGAAGAACCTTGAATAACAAGGTGACGCATGTACTAAAACAATTGTTTCTCAGATATAAATGGAAACACACTAATAGATATTATTAATCATTTTGTATGCTTTTGTTTGTACATCTAATCATAGTTTAAAATAGCCTAAAAAGCATAATTTCATGCTTCTCAAAGCGAGCACTCCCTCTCTGAAGACCATTATCCCTGTGTGTGTCATAACTTTTATGATTGCAGGTTATGTATGTCAGAAGATAAAGTGTGTACATGTGATTTTATACACAACATGCCCTGTTACATATTTTTTTTGCAGCTCGTTACATTTAGCAAAGCCAACATTTTTTCTTACTTGAGAAAATTAAGAAATTAGACTGATTTTGTTTTAAAGTTATAAAGTCTGTCCTGGCCAACTCAAAGCATATAGCAGAGAGAGATGGAGCACCCGGCTTGCATCCTGTCAGCGATTACAATTTCAAAACAGCCACATAAAACTTCAGATCAGATTTACTGAAGTAAAATTATTTTTCTAACACAGATTCATACATAAAAACATGACCTCATATTTATGTGTAGCACAAGGATTTAAATGTGGAACTATCATTCACAGGTTTGTGGCTGTGTGAAGTAAGTGTTGAAGTGTGTGTGTGGTTGTGAAGAGTGGACAGAGGGTGCTTACGCTGTAGGGCGCTGCCTCTCTTTGTGCCGGATTGTTGTACATTCCATAACAGAGACTGCTGGAGCATGTAGTACAACAGACAATGCTGAATGATTTAAATGAAATCCAGATCTGAAACATCATTGCCAGATAGAGAAATGTAGAATATTACTTCTTTCATTACCTATATCAGAATAAACATGACTATGAGCTCACAGTTCCTGTCTGAAAATGTTCCACTGTGTGTGTTTACGTGTGTGTGTGTTGAGACGAAGAAACCAAAATCAAAGGCACTTTTCA